ATCTTACCACAGTATTTGTTAAGCTCTTGAGACATGAAAATGTCATAGAGCCTCCTGTTGCCTGTTTTTGAGATTTTGTCCTGTGTGGCCTTGACTTCTTTTCTCCTTCTGTTGTCTATGAAATTCTGCAAGCACAACAAAAAAATACAAAAAAAAGAGAAATTTTCAGCAAATTATTTTTAAAAATGCAAGCCAACTAAAAATTGATAAGCAGCAGAATGAAAAATCCCTTTTCTCACATGTTACTGCTGGATGTTCATTAAAGGGATCCGGTAACTTTGTCTCAGATCCTTAAACAAAATCCTTGATTTCGCTCATGCTGCAATCATAATTATTAACCTTTAAGTCATTCAGGAATCCAATGACTGTAACAAGCCGATTGCCTGTCTGATTATCAAGATATTTATGAGTGAAAATCAAAAATTTATTTTGCATTTTCCTAACGGTTTCACTATAACACTACATTCTACTGAGGAAAATGAGTATGGTAAAACCAGTCACTCATAGATTTGTACTTCTTTTGAGGCACTTCATGATCATTTTGAAACACAATTTTTTTTAAGGGCTTCATTATTATACCATATCACAGACACGTAGGGTCATGCATCTACGATTTAACATTGTTACCGGTAAACGATGCCGTTAATAGCATACTGTAGATGTATACTCATTGATAAATTTGATTTTGTTGTCATATAATCATCAATTTATTTTACTTGGTGTATTAGTTTAACCTTTTCTCAATCCACGTAGTGTTTACTGCTCCATTTATGTTCTCATTAAGAATTGGCTGAATAGGTAACTTCTCTGTGATGAAGTGGCGGACACCATTCCCATTTGTTCCAACTTTCAACACACAAATTACTAAAATTTCAATTTTTCACAAATGTATGACTCAGGATGGACTTTCCATTTTTAGAGGACGTGTAATAATATACTGTCTCTTTTGAATACCGTAGTGAAGGCAGTTGGGGGGGAAATATAAATAAAAGAAAATGAATATATGCACAATTTTTTCTTCTTCAATTCCTTGACATACAGTGTACAAGAAATAACCCACCTTAATTTGACTGTACTTCATCTTGGTCACAGCTACAGCTTCCGTCATAAGTCGTTTGGCCTCACCCGTCTTTGAATTTGTCATGCCTTTATTCCACAGTCCATTGAGGTACTCCCTAGTGAAAAAAAGATTTTGTTGGAGGTAGAAAAAGATTTTGTTGGAGGTAGAATAAGCCTTTGGCAACCAGTGAAGAATGAAGTAGTTTCTAATACCAATGATTACCAAATGTTCCGAGTACGGTAATCCTTTTTTTGCACTGTACTCAGACAAGCCTGACCCCCAAAAGAAAATATCTTCTTCGCGATTTTTTTTTGGGAAACCTAACCCCACTGATAACTTTACTTATTCTTAGAGATTTGTTGCATTTGATTAATGCCTATCAACCTACAAGTTTCCCACCAAAGTGTATTAGAGAGGCATACAGCAAGAATAAAGTAAAGTTTCTCAGCAAGACATGGGCATCCCTATTTTCTTGATTGCTTCCAGCTGTTTGTAGTGTTGAAGCATTTCATTCACCTGCTATTATATAAGGGTGTCTGAACAAATTTTCAATTTTTCCTTTTGGATTGCTTTTCACAAAATATTGCGTAGGAAGGATACAAGAGAGAGAGAGTGGTTGGATATTTGAAAAAAATCAACTGCTCAGAGGAACACATTTTAAATTACAAGACTCACCAATGTTTCTATCAAAAGATACAGCCCAAAATTCCAGAATGGAGGAAAAAGTGGTACACGCTGAGTTGTAAATTTTGTTCAACAGCTGTCTGTATCGCGCGATATGCAAAGCGTACGTGTTAATTAGCCTCCGTCATCTTTGTTGTCATGATTGTGCGATTTTCTTTTTATAATCTAACACCAAAATCATGATAGACCCTATTCCAGTAAATCTTCTATTTTGTACAATTTTTTTTAATATCCTTAATAAAATTACCGGTTAACGGTAGTATTTTTAGTATTTAAAGATAAAGTTGAGTTCAAGTCATGCGATTGCATAGAAACGGTGTGGAATCTATTGGAAGAAGTTGATCATGTAGCATTAGTATTGGTGTGTATAGCCTAATGCAAGCTTCTGAAGTCATCAAAATGAGCAGAAATTTGGCCCAGTAAAGTTACAAGCACTGTACACAGAAAGATGTATGGGACAACGCAAAAATGTGGTATAAAAATCGGGCCTTAATAACAATGATAACGCTCACAAATTATTTGTGTTTGAATGACTGAGTGACAATTAGTAGAGGATGAGCGAATTATAGAAGCCAAGATAATTGTCACCAAATTTTAATATCAAAACAAGGAGAAAATCATAAATTTTGCTTGTACTGTTACTTGTATTGTAAGTGAGCCTTTTCTGAAGTCCAAGTTGATATTGTTGTCTTCTACTTTTCCATTCAAATGCACACATCAATGTGACTATTAAATTCAGCAATTGCTTTAGTATTTAGGCCTAGATCTACTGTAGTACAGTAGTAGGGTCTATGTATCTCCAGTACAGGTACCTCGTATTTGCTGGAGCAGGTGTGCCGCTCGCTGACGAAGTGCCGCCAGGCGCCAGGGCCCCGGCACCTGGCTCGGCCACCGATAGTGCTAGTGGCCGTTGTATCAACTCTGTCAAATTCTGAACTGAAGCTGCCTCTTGATCTTGAAGTTGATGCTTGATGAGATAATTCCTGAAGCAGCTTTTCCAAGCCTCTGCCTCGTGTATATCATCACTTGACGAAGATGACGTGGACGGAATGTTCTCCATGGCGTGAAAGGCCTTGCTAAATTCAGGTTGAATCCTAACTTGAAAATGACAAACATCGAACCAGAGACAAAAAATGTACACACACATGCATGCGCATGCAACGCATACGCATGGTCTGGTGGGGGAGTTCCCCATCTCTGTCAAGTGCCGCGCGCGCCGCATGCAACGCGATGCTTGAGATGGCATGCAAGCTGATTGCGGAGCAGAGATAAGATGAGAGCTAGAGATAATGCACCTATAATAGCCAGTGGCGGATCCAGGGCGAGGCGGGTCCCCTCCCCTGGGAAAAATACAGTTAAAAACACGTTAATTTTACCCCTTTTTGGAGATGGGCTCTGGGGCCCATCTCCAAAAAAAAGGCCCCTCGCCAGGCGCTCAAGGGAGGTGCGATTTTTCCAATTTTCGAGCGCAATTTTTTTTAAACTAAATAGTGCTCGTTTACCCCGCCCCCCCCCCCCCTGGATCTCGCCGCTAAATATTCTCTCACGAATTGGGCCCCCTCTTTGACCCCCTCCCCTGCCACCGGCTGGATCCGCCCCTAGTAGGCTATGTCTATACGTGGACACTAGTGTTACTATTATTGTCCCCGGTCTCCCCTACTGATGGGGGGGGGGTGGTGGGTGGGGGTGGCATCTGAACAACCAATGCTCAATACTCGATCCATGGTGTGTTGGGAGGGGGGGCTGTGGACACTAACTGTAACCTCTGTAAGACGATACAACAACAACAATATTTTCATTAATTTATTTCCACGTCAAGATAAAACCATAATTATATAATCATCAAAATAGAAACATATAAGTGGTAGGATCATGAAAACATGAAAATGGCTAGCTTGTTAAAAATAACCTTTACAAATTTCTCTCAACCTTTTTTTTTTCGGTTTGGGAGGATAAGGGACATTAAGAGTTACATTATATAACATGAATAAATATCACATTAAATTACAAGTATAGCTAGCGCCCAATCAGCTGATAAAATAACACACCCTTCAACGTTGACAGTAGACTTTGCCATTCCTCTCATTCTGTATCGTTCTTCTCGACGGTTATTTTGGGGTATCGCGCGTTTAATTGAAGAATAAAAATATATATAAAACAGACAGAGGATGGACTAGGTCTATATAAGAAACCCCGTTTATGCTTACCATTCTAAAAACCCGTGAAACATATTATGATGGCATGGTTAAGAATGGAAAAAATACCCTCTTTCATCAAATCATCAAATTCCAAAGAAATTCATGAAAACGTAATTAACTCTTTCCGGAATAGGTCCCATTTTCTAAACTCTTGTGCCTATATTATGTAGACAATCTATTTTGAATCTGTATTAATCCCTATCAGTATCATTGACTTGAGCATACATCTACCTATCAAAGGTCATGATGTTTTGACTCTATTCGTGTATCCTATGTATAATTAATTTTGTAAACCATGTGATATAGTTTTACTATGAAGAACGTACTATATGCTAGTTACTAATTGTTTATACATTTAACTTTCCAAAACTTAAAAAGGGATTTAACTCTAACAACATGTAAATTTCAGTTTGTAGGCAATTCAAAACATATCTCTTTTTAATTAATGCAAAGATTGTTAAGTGCTAAGGTAGTATTATTTGAAAATAAAAATATACAGACTCCTTTGTTGAATAAGAAAAACCGTAGAATTCTTTATGGTTTTTTGTTTTCGTGATTCTTTTTAATAGAAAATACATTCTTCTCAATTAAAAAGGATGACATTTTGATACAGAGTGCTTATTTCATCTAAATATGAAAATTATGTACAGCTGTTTAAAAAAAGGAATAAGAAATCGTAAATTTATCTGGACAATAAACGAATATTGAATTGAAAATGCGGATCATGAATTTCATTCCATTATCAAGATGTATACATATAAAATATTTCATTCAGTCTTGTCAATACCTGAAGATAAAATATCACTACATTGTAGCGAATACCTAAGCAAACTGCAATGTCCTATATCAAATAGGAAATATCTAACATACAATATTCTTACGACACAACTGCTCGACCACTGATATTTGATTTGATTTGATTTGATTCATTTTTCCACTCAAATATCCACAATATTAAAAAAAAATATATATATATACACCATACAGTATTACAATATATAATAGAACAAATGAATTATAAAAGTAAAAATACGAATAAGTATCGACGACACAAAATAAGTTTACAGAGTACATTTAAGTTTGAGAATAAGACAAATATTTGATATTGCTTGATATAACTAAGAGGGAATCTCAGAAAAGCTATACATGTACTCGTTTAGCGAGCCGAGATTCCCAATATAAAATAAGAACTAGCCTATCGTCAGCGCCAATTTAGTCAATATTGTGGCTGGAAATAAACCAAGCAGTACTTAAAAAGAGGATTAGTACAACGATTTGAAGGAAACCAACGAAGACAAACATATTGAAACTTTTCGTCTTACAGCCCGTTCTTTTTCCCAGTCTCTTTGATTGTTTGTTTTTTATTCTGTTTATATTGCCTGATTTGGCTTTTTGTCCATTCTTAGGATTTACTCTCATGAGTGGAAGACGAAAAGGTTTAGTTTGTCTGTAATCGTTGGTATTCTAAGAAAATTTATTTAAAATGTCCCTGATTTGGCATACAAATATATTGTTTATAAGCCTTAGTTAAATGATGATACTTTGTTATAAAATACATGCATGTAGATGATATTAATGATGAAGTAATGCATTAAAATCAGAAAATTGTTTAGAAAACAGCTATTTCTAGCTTATTTCCCAAAATAATTATGAATTTGATTTTTCAACAGACTTATTGAGGTGAAATAATGCTTTAGGACATAACGAAAAAAGGGCCAATATACAAAAAAGGTGCAAACCATTACATCACCCACAATAATTAACCATGATCAAAATCATTATTGTAATTCGTTGTCTTTCAATCTAAAATGGGTATTTGCTACATACATAAATCATTCAATAATAAATAATTCATTCACAATTTTGTATCAGATATTCCCGTAGATTAATTTCAATTTCCTTAATAGAATAAATATTTTCTGAAAAAAAAGATTTGCCCTGTGGGAATAACGCGCGCAGGAAGGAATTTGGCATTTTCTTTATTAGTGAGAATTTACATTTTCAAAGAGACTATTTACATTCGTATGCAAAGCAAAACTGTCAACTGCCTAATATGGACCATAGAATGTCAATTTTGGTCATGTAAGTAATTTTCTACAAATTTCCGTTAGTTTCCCTTTTTAACGTATTTTAAAGAGTGCATGACGAGGCAGTACAAATATTAACTTCTTCTTCTCTTCTTCTTCTTCTTCTTCTTTTTCTTCTCCTTTTTGATGACAGAAGAAAGATTTACATTAGTCTGGAGCGAGTTTAGAACTGCCAATTAAATATTTACATTTGCTATGAGATTATTTGCGTTTTCCTGACCAAACCAAAAGGAGTTGCATTGTACCAGAATAGTTGGGAACCTTTGAGGAAAACATGAAGCAATTCATTTTTCCTAATGTGAAAACGAAATATTTCTGTTTTGAAAATAGTAATGTTCCATACGACTGAATTAATCTAAGGAGTGATTACCTCATCCCAAGATACAATGAGAGTAATTTTGAGCATGCCTTTCATCTTGTACCCAAGGGCCTCGTTTTCTACCACATCTTTTTCTATTAGCTTCGGAAATTCCACAATGTGTGCACCACTGGTTTCTTCAAAATCAGTGGATTTCTTCCTCGTTTCCTCATCATCGGAACTATTAACAACACGAGCTTCAAAGTGGCACCGTGTTGGAAGGTCTCCGGTTACCTTTAACGAAAGATGGGTGCCGTGCCCACTACCAAAGCCAAGCAGAAAGAGTTCGGCTCGTAGGTTGTCGTCTGTTGAAAGTAGTATCTGCGATGCCTGTTCATACTTCAGATCGTCGTACGGGATGACATGGTATGACGTTTTCTGATAGGTGTAGTGGTCCTTCGCCTTCAATTTTCGCATATCTTCCTTTAAGGCGGCCACGATGGACTGGAAGGCCTTCATCTCCTCTTCATGTGAGCTAACAGAGTCGCGGAGTGACCTCATATTCTCGACAGACTTAGTGTGACGTGTGTTGCTCCGGACGCAATGACTATGATACCCTTTGCTGAGCTTTTCATGGCCTTCAGCGATGTGGGATACTGAATGCAGAACACTGCTAAGTTCTGAACTCCAACTAGATGCAGCTGAAGGAATCTCGATTGCTTCAGAACGTGCAGGGATGATGTCAGGATTCCGGAGGTCGCCAGCACCTGAAGCTAAATGAAAGCTGGAATATCTTAAGCCAATAGGTGAGATCGATGCGACTGGTTCCGGGACTTGGTACACTTGGTGGTTGACCTCATCCTTAGCCCCACCCTCGGCCCCACCTGCCTCTACATCCCTCGTTGCACTTTCAGTCACATCTGCTCTCCTCTCTGGAGTCCGAGTTCCCTGCATTCGCGGCGAATCTGCATTGAATCGTATTAGATGTAATGTTGCACATCAATGGCCGAAATATGGAACATTTAGATTCTTATGACACTGTCATGTTTTCTGTTGAAGTTATCTTAAAGGCAGGAATTCTACTAACACTGTAAATTTCCATCTGCTGCTCACAATGTCCCGATGTGTCGACAGCTGTGTCCCATAATGCATTACCAACTTATTAGAGCGCCTGATGATGCTTGGGCACAGGTACCGGAAATCACTCTATATTATTATGCACACATTCACCGAAAGACTCATGCGCAATTGAAAGTACATTACAGCAGTGTTATATTTCGATCTCGATAACATAACCTGCCTTTAACCTATGATCAACAGTCTTCAATGTTATAATCATCTTGGAGAATAACAGGAACAACAAAAACAAAATAAGAGAGGGATGTTTGGGCTGCCGTATGTAATGAGTATAGACACCGACATGGTTCAAGATGGAAAAATCAAGACAGGTTTAAGAATAAGAGGTGGACCTGCAGTGGTAAATAGCGGGGGTCAAGACATCATTGAAGAGGCATCGGAAATATTACATTCATAAAATGCAAAGGAAGAAGGATGTATAGATTAAAGCGGTGTGGGGATAGACCACATCGTCTAATTTCCACGTTGCTTTGATCACCTAGTGACTGAGTGACCAGAAATTCGCTCTTGCCTGACCGGGCTTTATTTCGTCAAAAGTATGGGGCCAGGTTGGCGTTGCAATTGGACTGTAGCCTCAACGTTAGGGTAAGAGTTAGGCAGGCCAATACGATGGGGTCTACAGTTGAAATATTTGAAAATTACCGGCAGCACCGATAAATTTTGATTATTCAATTTCTCGAAAGCAGAAGTGTTTTAGGGGTCTACATTTTCTAGTGCCTATAATACATCCACAGGGGCATCCAAATATGTCAAAAAAATTAAGAATTACTATCCATCCAATTCTCAAAATTTCACAAAACTTTTCACTACCTTTAACCAGCGTGCAGTGCATATTCACTTTTGCACTCGCAAACAATTTTTTATGTGTGTAATATAAGATGTATTGCCCATTCATTTTTTTTTCTAATTCAACTTTCATACCTGTTCCTGCAGCATTTTTCTTGGCTGGAGTTGACGTTTTCGGTATGCCCTGGCCAGAAGCAGCTTCAGCTATCGTTTCATTATCGGAAAAGACATCATCTCTTAAGATATGAAAGAAAGAAAATTGGCAAATACAAATCTGTGATGACTCTTCCAAACATTGGATCTGATAGATAAAGAAAACATGATTCCGATGTTGATTATATTTAGTATATCCCATGATGCAAGGTAACGTTACTTTGTAATAGAAAATTACAGAATGCGTTGGACTTGACATCAAGTACCCTTAAATGCCACAAAAATTGCGCAAAAAGGAATTTGAAAATGTTAACTTACAGTGTCAGTTCATCATCCAACGTGGTCGCATTGAGTGATGTAGGATTCTGACAGCTTTCTAAGAATTGATGTTTATGGTCCATCCTGTTACTACGGTTAGCTAGGTAAAAGACAAAAAAAATGTTTCTTCAACATGAATAAAGAATATGTAAATCAAAAAGTTGTTTTATAGGACACTTACATTATAATCCCATTATCACGACCTTGGGCAAGATAACACAATTCAGTGTGAAATCAATACACAAATATAAAACAAATACGTCTTTTGTTGTTGTTTTTGTTGTTCTTTAAGGCTGACCAATCTAAAAAGATTATTTCTGCCTGGCTGTACTGTTTTTTTTTAGTTGTTCATCACTGATGATTAGATGGCGCTGTTTCTTTTCCTCTTCAGTGGGTATCTGTACTGCGTCGATAACACACGAACTAGACTAGCCCAGCATGCAACGATCCGACTGGTCTGCGATCGTTCTGCGACTGAGTGAGATTCGTATTAGGTCCATGGTGAGATGTAGAGGAGATATGACGTCACAGCTCCCGCCAGCTTGTGAGTCACATACAAGTCGGGTCATATTGGTGCGCGGGGTATTACGTCTTTGTCCCAGGCACTTTTCAATTCAATCCCCCCCCCCCCCCCCTCTCTCTCTCTCTCTCTCTCTCTCTTTCTCTCTTTAGTCTCTACCTACCATTCTTCTTTTCTCTTATGTGCTATACTTCGCATCACCAGGAATCCCCTAATTTATGTATTTTGCTTGTACATGATGGTACTTAATATTGCCAGTGCTCACAAGTCATTAAGCTCTGCTTATGTTGGCGCCCTGGCCAGTTCTGTTTAAAATAAATTCATTTTCTTCATGTAAGTTTAATACATACTTTTTTTCTTATGTATTCAGAACTGAACAAATAAATGAAAATATTTCTTTTTTAATTTTAAGTGCAAAATTAAAAAAATCAAATCCCTTCTTTACTAAAATGCTTTGCTTGGAATAATATTTTGTCTTCGTTCTCATAAGGAAAAAAACATTATCTACATGTAGTTTGCCCTATACTGTTGTGATTATTGGTAACATTTAGCCCATTAGCAACATGGTATACAAATCAAAACCACTTGAGAAGTTCTTGTTAAACTATGGGCAACACGTGACTCCAATAGTACTATTTGATTCGGGGCTGCCCCTCAGCAAATGGTATTATTGGAGTCACCGAGGCCTATAGTTTTAACCAGGATCTCGAAAAGGTAGGGTATATATATTTTTTATCCTTCGTCAGATATTTAAAATCAAGCAAAGACACTTCATTATACAGTAAATGAGACTGTAACTCAGCGTAGATAGTACGACGTAAGCGACGTGACACCGCGGCGGAAGTTACCCGCTGGAGACACTTGAAATCACGTACGCTCGCTGAATTTTCAACTCCCAAATAGTACTTTTTTCAGAGCGACCTTCAAATGGTTGAAATATTTATGGTAACGTGAAGAGCTTTCAACCAATAAATTGATGATGCAGGACAATAATAGTGCCTACTTGTATAGCGCACAGGTCCACCTTTCGGTGCTCATGGCGATATCATAATCACCGTATGCAAAGCAAATCGATACTATCAATGTAGGCCTACATCCGTTATTCTGTTATAAAATGGGTTCAAGAGAAGCGTCGAAATGGATCATGCACTGCACTTGGTTAAGTCACAATGAGACGGACAATGAACCCTCGTCCATTAACCTGCGTGCAGTGCATATTCACTATTGCACTCGCAAACACGTATTATTTGTATGTTATATGTATTATTTGCATATAGCCTACCATTGAATATGACTCTTTATAGACTTTAAACCCTGGCAGCAAATCAAAACGCCCTAAATTTCTGTGCATACCAATACTTTTCGATTGACAAATGGGATAGGGTCTACAGATACACTGTCTCCAAAATAGGCTACCAAATATCTTGACAAAAGTCTCCAATATCAACCTTGCACATATTTTATAGGAAACAGTCTCCCATAATTCCAGCCAAATTAGGCTTAGCGAATTCTTCTTCACCGAGACGTGTACAAATGAACATATTATGTTTATATCCAAGAATAACATTATAATTCTCTAGTTTTAGCAAAATTAACAAGTTACATACTCTTACTTGTGAAGCGATATATACTGTATACTCACATAATTATATATATATGGAACAATGTACGCACAAGTCCGATTTCAGTTTCTAGCTAAAATGGCGACAAGTCGCTCATTCATTTTGCTCACCTTGTCCCTCAGACCATACTCAGTTTACGAGAAAAATTACGGAAATATTAATATCTTATTTCGGAAATAGCGTCGCTTAGTCTGTTAGCACACACTCTTTGATATTTGCAAATACATCGTGAGTGAAATATAGACCTTTTAAAGTATTGATTATACATAACCTCATTACCATCTATCGTAAGAGGGTTAACAGTAAAAGTCATGTTCAATAAGGTCTAAACATGGCATGATCCAGCCCCTAATTCTCAAATCATGGATGACAAGGGGTCTGTATATGCAGACTCGGAATTTTAGTGGGAATTCCCCGCAGAATAAAAATAGCCCAATGGTTTTAATTGTATAAATTGAATGGACAATGAAAGAGTGAGAGAGAGAGACACACACACAGAGAGACATGGTAGTACAGCGGATTAGCTCCCCATATAACGAGAACTGTGCACTTTTTGATAAAAGCATGAAACTTCTAGCATAGTTAGTTTAGACCATAAGATTCATTTTCAGATGTGGAGGGAAGTCAGATTTGACCTCTGATGACCCTGAGAGGTCAAATTCAAAATGGCCGCCAGTCCGCATGGTCTATAATGTACAAACACGCTTAACTTTTGAACCAAATAGTCCAGAAAAACATTTAAGGTGTCGTTTCCAACTAAATTGAGGATGCCAATGCATTTGGTAATACTTTTGAGATCGCCAGATTTCGGGGTTTGGCATTTAGGTCAAGGTTAAGGTCAAAATTGACTAAAAATAGCAAGTTTTCAATGTTTACAACGAAACAAATCCCATTTATTTGTCATTTGTTCGCTCCTATGTTCTCAAATTTCTTTAAGAGTGGTTCCCCTGCAGACCATGAGATTCATTTTCAGATGTAGAGCGAAATCAGATTTGACCTTTGATGACCCTGAGAGGTCAAATAAAAAATGGCTGCCAGTCCGCCGCATAGTCTAATAATTGTCCAAACACGCTTAACTCTTGAACTAAATAGTCCAGAAAAACGTTTAAGGTGTCATTTCCAACTAAGTTGGGGATGCCAATTCATTTGGTAATACTTTTGGGTACGCCAGAACTCTGGGCTTTGCATGAAGTCAAGGTCAAGGTCAAAATTGACTAAAAAAATAGCAAGTTTTGAATGTTTACAAAAAGTTTTCCCATTTATTTGTCCCCCTATGTTCTCACATTTCTTTAGGAGTGGTTCCCCTGCATAGTCTCCATCGTAATCCCTGTCAGTTAGTTTATTTCACTAACTATAGCACCAAACCAGTAGTTGTCTTGTAACTGACCATATGCATATAGCATGGTCAGTGGGCAGCTAGGCAGTATACGGTACAAACCTCAATTCAAGTCAGGGAAACTGCTCCTTTCCGTTACTGCTCAATAATACTGGTAAGATGTTCTTTAAGTTACTTTGTGTTTTATTTGGTTTAAGTAATTTAAATAATCGCTACAGAGTTTGAGGAACATGCTGTGAGGTGGTCGAGAACTCGAAATCAACGACAGACAGATCCTGTGAGAGGGCCAAGCAAAGAGTCTTTATTAGTAGTAACCAGTACGTAGCAGACACATTACATATCACCAATGCCGACAATCATGGAGATCATGCATTCCCCCTTTTCACAGTAAACACATATTAAAGAATGAATAATGAAACTAACAATATATCATAATAATGGAACAAAGACAAAATATCTCTGCTTTTAAATATCAGAATATCCCAAGACCTGAAACATTGATAAATCCCGGAAACTATAAATCTCCTTATATCTGCATCAAATACAACTTTCATCAACCAATCCAATTCAAATATTTATCTTCCATACTTTTCTTGCTTCCAAACAAACTCCAATAATCTCCTGGTCTAACCCTAAACATTGCTCTTACTCCTATTATTCCATCTCAATTTAACATGTAACAATATTCTTTTATAGCAATCTGCAAAATGAGAAATAAGGTTTACAGTGATAGAGGGCGCTAGAAACCCTCGAATGGCTACATAGTCAGACAAAGTTCGATCATCACTGTTTGAACTGAAGTGCCATAATTAATATCCCCTAGCTTAGCAACCAAAATACAAACAACATGCAATACTTTTAAACACTCAACTTCTATTATAAGCACTTCTTTTCTATGCTCCCTACCGTTCTTACTGACCTCATTCCTAAACCAAGACTTATACTCATCACATCAATTAGAGCGTACTCTGGTCCTGGTCCTGGGACCAGGCACAACATTAGCGCGCACGCACTACACCCAATTTTGGTACCGCGCGTTCAACTTATTAGTGTACATAACCATGTACTACAATGTAAATGCATATAACAAATCAAAGCGCTAAGCATCACACAGTTTAACATTAAATCCTCGTTTCCAATATAATCATATCAACCCACATGATACATCAAAATAACTACTGAAATCGTTCTGACACAATACACATATGTACATAACAAATCTCTAGCATAACAATATTAATATTTACTAAAAATAACAGTGGTTCAAGTTTGGTCAACTCACCTGTGAGAGGGCCAAGCAAAGAGTGCCGGCTTGTCTCAGCACTCCGCCCTCTACAGGTCACATGGTAATTTCCTAACCCCTTACATCCTTCCCCACTTAAAACGTCATCGTCCTCGATGACCGAAGGAACAATATTCAAGCCATCAACTACCAACAAACGTATAACACATAATTAAACTTGCCACTAATATAGCACGTGGCGACATAACACCTATATTAAACTGCACCATTACCTGTATCTTTCCACTACACAGCAGTCCCCTTTAAGAGTCATTTTGCAAGCTCGTCAAACACAGTATACACTATAAATACATATATACAAA